TAACCTATGCCCTAACCCTAATCTTTAAATAATAATTTATTTACAGTATATAAAAAAATTCTATAAAAATATAGGGTGGTTAAAATTTATAATTTTAACCAGTGGTTAAAATTAGTTAAATTCTTTTCGATATACTAAATTATTTACGATTTTGACTGTCAAAAATCATTTTCGCTATTTAAAATTACGCCAAGAGCGAAATATTTTCGGCACCCATGGATATCGATGAAATACCAACTTTGACTTCTGCAATGGTTGAGAAATTACACGAGGCCATTACTCAGGTAATAACCAGATTATATATGAAGCGAAATATTCATTAATATCACTCTAATCCTTTATTCGTATTTTTAATAGTCATATTCTTTGCGGTCTTTGCAACAATTGCTATTGGCTTTTCGTGCAGCTGCCCATATTAATGATAGTGAAGAAAAAGATTATTCGTATAAAATTAGTGATTCAGCAGGTTCATTGTAGCTCAATGGCTTTGATTTTTAAATTTTAAAGTTATACGTAACTTATCGATGCTTTGACTATAGTATTCAATAATCTTGTGGTTATTTGTCTGAAATACACAACCGGAGTCTTCGATCATCATTTAGCCAGGCAAGATTCGGATTTAGTTCGTGAGTTAGTTTCGATTTTATACAAATCTCTATTTATACCCTTTTTTTTTCCTAAGAATTTTAATTAAATAACTTTATTATAGGAAACTTCCGTGTACGCACCGAAAATGGAAAACATTAGAGCCTCTTGCAAAGTCCTTTTTGAGTAGCGTTTTGTATATGCTCGAGCAAGTGACTGAGAATGATATGATTTACTTTATCGTGAGAGAGTCGGAGAAGACTGTCCCTTATTATGCATGTTTTCCTAAATTATCTGAACGTTATTTAAAGGTAAACCAACTCTTTCGTATTTTCAAGATTATTTATGCATACTTACGAATATCATTATTTTTTTTAAAGCAACTACTCGATATTTGGGGAACAGCAGAAGATAAGACTCGAATTGCGGCATTTCTTAATATTCGCAAACTTGCATCTATTGCACCGCCGCCTTTTATTGACCTTTGTCTAAAGGTATAAAATTATGAGATTTAACTATTCAAATTCACCGCCCACGCTTAAAAATAACATTTAATTTCAGGGTATTTATACTACTTTTGTCCAATATTGCAAAGAAACTACAGTCTTTACGATACCATCCATCAATCTTATGAGTAATTGTGCGGTTGAAATGTATGGAATTGATCTAAAAAGTTCATACCAGTCTGCATTTAATTACATTAGACAATTAGCTATTCATTTAAGGAATTCTACTAATAACAAGAACGAGGTGAGAATTTACGCATTTAATAATACTACATTGGCAGGTTTGTCATGAATTAGATTATTTACTATTATTGTGTAGGAAACCTTTAATACTATATACAATTGGCAATATGTACATTGCATTGAATATTGGTCCAAGGTACTGGCTAATTATTGCGATCAAACACGAGAATCTAAAAATAATAAAGGTTCACTACAAGAGTTAATTTATCCATTAGTACAAGTATGCACTGGTGTAATAAGGTATGAACGAATTTTTTTAAGTTTTAATATTACAATACCAATATTTTAACCATATATATTATAATAGGTTGAATGTTACAGCACAATACTTTCCGTTTCATTTCCATTGTATTCGCGCTTTGATTCATCTCATCAAGAAAACGGGGACTTTTATACCTCTTGCACCTTATCTTTTTGACATTCTGCATTCAGCTGAAGTTTACCGAAAACCAAAACTTGCGACTTTAAAACCTTTAGATTTTTCGTCTACATTAAAAACACCAAAGGCTTATTTACATACAAAAGTATATCAGGTATGACCATTATTAATCTATGAAATTACAATTTGATGTTTTTTTAATTTACTCCTGTATAGGATGGTATATGCGAAGAACTCGTTGAACTATTGTTCGAGTATTACTCGTGTTACAGTTTGTCAATAGCATTTCCGGAATTAGCAATACCCGCTATTATTCAAGTTTGTTAATCTTTTTTTTTTTATTCGTTATATCAAATGCGATTTTAGCAATTATAAATTTATCTTTCTTTTATAGATTAAACGACATATTAAGAATTCAAAAAATACTAAATTCAACAAACAACTTCAACAGTTTATTGAAAAGGTAGGTCTTTAATCATGACATTTTTGTATTCTAAGTTAATTATTATTTAATATCTAAATCTTATTGGCCGATTAATTATAGATGGAACAAAATACTAAATTCATAGAGCAACAACGTTCACGGGTTGATTTCAGTCCTAGTAATCGGGCAGAAGTTGTATGTGTTTTTTTGTTTTTAAAAAAAAAAAAAATTTTATAGCTAATTCAAATTTAAATTAATGTTTAAAAAAGAAAGCATTTTTAAAAAATTCGGATCCTGATTCAACGCCACTTGGTGGATATGTAAAAGCAACTAAGAAAATTAAAGAGCAACGTCAAAAATTGATGGATGTGGTATATATGACTTTCTTGATGTTGCATATATTTATTAATAAATTTTAGTATTACTGACTTTATGTTTCTATCAATAACAATAATTTTCATGTCACTAGGATTCAGAATAATTGATATTTCAGGTTTGGTAAATTCAGTAAAACATTATATTTAAACAATTGATGGCTGATTCTTATGCATCGACCAATATTTGGATCAAATTTAGTTATTTTAATTATTTTTTCTATCAAAAAAGCGTATTATATTAAAAATTTATTGTTTTTTTTTACATATTTAAAATTTTAAATAAATTTAATAATCAGGCAGGGTTATGAGAACTAAAAATTAACATAAAAATAAATAAAATAAACCAAGCGTGTAAAATTAAAATTTTAGGGTTAGAGCGTTATATTTAGAGGATATGAAATTGCATTTTGTTATCTTTCATAATAACTTGCTGCAGACATTAGAATATCAATAACTTATGTGACCAAAAAAGGGGATCGTCTAGTAATTTATATGAATTACGTGACCTTTACTTTACAAATTTATAATTAACAATTTGAAAACTACCTGTCTTTAGACGATCCCCAAAAAAGAAAATCTGATTTTTAAACTAAATACTTCCGACATTTTTAATTAGTGCACCAAGGTAAATTTCTTTCGTCCGTTATTACCGTACGGCATACCTAGGGACGATGATTTTATACAAATCGCATAAAACCGCATAAATTGCATAATATAATTAATGCACAATCGCATAAAGTATGTTGCTATTAAGTAAATTTTGCTTGGCTCTCTAAGTGCAGTTCCGAAAGGCTCCGAATAGAAAATCAATCAACGCAAATTATGAGCAAGGTCGAAAAAAAATTAAAGTTCCGACGTACTCCAAATGGTTGTTTCCGTATCAAAATTATGTGTTATGGCGTCGAGGTAAGAACGTTGATGTTATTACGACTGATTTTTCACACGGTGTGCAACTAGTGTGCAACGTATAAAAAATCAATTTTACAATACCGGATCATTCGGGTAGTACATGTTATGATTATAATCCAACACCATTTTTACTAATAAAAATGGTGTTGGATTATAATCATAACATGTACTACCCGAATGATCCGGTATTGTAAAATTGATTTTTTATACGTTGCACACTAGTTGCACACCGTGTGAAAAATCAGTCAATAACATCAACGTTCTTACCTGTAGTTATGGCGCAAAATGAAATGTAGCATAATCATGCATAATTATAAAAAAATTATGCGCAGCAAAACGCATAAAATCATCGTCCCTAAAAATACCCAGGTACATTTCATGGGTTCACGTTTCAAAAAATTAAAAAAGACCCAGGCATTATACTAGTTATATATTAGTACCCGGGCGAGTATTGTTTAGGTTTATTGAATAGTAAATATCCAGGTATTATTCTAGTACTCGGGCGGATAGTACCCAGGTATTATTCTATTATTCTAGTTATATATTATGGTTTGATTGAATAGTATCCTAGGTACTATAGTCAGTGCCGTACCGTACGGTACCCAAATCACGGTACCCAAATCTTAGTGAAGAGGTACCTTCTAAATGTCTGCACCTATACTTAATGCAGATTTAAACACGCGTTTTTTTTTTTTTTGGGATAAACATAATCCACGTTTCCGATTGGCTAATTTCCTTTTCAGGTTTGTATCATGCACGCAGATAACGATAAGAACACGCGGTTGTGATTATTTTAGAATTGATCTTCAAACAAAAGTAAATGTTTTAAATGTTTTGATTTCATAAAAACGTGAACGTGAAAATGAAAAAAAAGATAAATAAAGATCTTTTTGTCATTTTTTATCGTTACTAAATCCTTTACTAAATCCTTTATTTGCGACAACCTTTTCCTTTTTTTTCAAGTTTGCGATAAAAATTTTTATCTTATATACGTTTTTTTTATCACTTTTTATTGTTACTAAATTCTTGATTTGCGATAAAATTTTTATCTTATACACGTTTCTTTTTTTTTAAGTTTGTTTATACGTATTTTTATTGTTTTACGAAGATTTTTGATGTTATCGACTTTTGTTAAGATAAGTATATCGTTCTGTACACACTTGTGTTCAGTTGCTATGCTCGTTTTAACTTTTTTTCGTTTTCGAAAGATTCCCGAATACGGGTTTCTTTCAAAGGTAAGTAGTTTTTTTTAGCGCGTTGACCGACCCGCGCAAAGAAGAGCGTCAAGAACGGGTTGGAAAAGATGCCACCTTCCGTACCTGGGAACGGCCCCTTATCCCCAGAGAGTAGGTATGGTTTTTTTGTTGTTACTAACTTTTTTACAGTGAATATTAAATCTCTCTGGTGGATATAATTTTTTTTTTTGCTTTCACAAGCCAGGTTGTGAAAGCTTTGTTTTTGGGTCACTTTTGGTACTGACGTCCTTGTCGTGTGGCCTGGGTATTATCTAGTTAATTCTAGATAATAGCTAACGGGTACCAATATTTTTTTTAAGTTTTTAATAAAATTTGTAATTTAAACGTTGTAAAATAATAATAAAAATGTATTTAAATTTTATATTTAATAAAAATAAAGTATAATTTTGATTAACCGTTTTAAAATGTTATTTTTATATTATTTAAATGCGATAATAATAATAATAAAGTTTTGTTAAATTCGATAATAATAATAATAAAGTTTTGTTAAATGCGATAATAATAATAATAAAGTTTTGTTAAATGCGATAATCATAATAATAATAAAGTTTTGTTAAATGCGATAATAATAATAATAATAAAGTTTTGTTAAATGCGATAATAATAATAAAGTTTTGTTAAATGCGAATATTGAATGTTAACAATGATATTAAAAGCCAATTTTTTAACGTTGTATATCGAAAGTTCGATATAATAATTGTTTCAAATTTGATGTCGTGAAAAATTATGATTTATTAAGAAAATGAATTTAAACTATATTATGACGTTTTTAAGTTTACATTAATACGCATAATTATGCTACTACTTAAGCTTTTTATTGACACGAAACAAATGCTAAGCATAAAGCAGTATACAGGTATAAGAAATATAATAATGCAAACCAAAATTGACTGCCAACATTAATTGGCAAAATGATGAAAAAAAAGTATATATAAAGATAAAATGTCACGTATATTTAATCCGCTTTGCAGGAGAATCGATATCAGACGACGATTCATTAGATTCATTAGATTTTTCCAGGTCGAGATTATCCATAAATTTTTTCAATGTTGAATAAACTTTGTCATTAAACCGTGTATCTTCATGATGTTCTCTTACATGTTTCTTCATCTTGAGTAAACACTCTTGATATTTGGCTAAAGTAAGATTTGGATTTTTTGCGATAATCCAAGAAATGAAAACGAATTCAATAGGCGATAACCGATGATTTTGTTGAAAGATATCGGAATCAATTTCGATCAATAATTTCATTGTGTCAAAAACACGTTTGATGGTTTCCTGAAGGTGAATAGGAATTTCACGAGTATTTCTTAAGTACTTTTCAATGATTTTAGGTCTTGCGTTGAATTTTTCTGGTTCGTTTTCAATAATGAAAAATAGTTGTGCCATGACATGAAATAGTTTTCCACGCTTTGTATCCATGATCTGCGCAACAACTTTGTAAGTTTCATAAGTTCTATGCAAAAAATCTGACATCGTACTGCTGATTGCCCAAAGTTTTTCTAAACAAACAAGTAAACTAAATGTGAAATTTCGTTCTCATATTATCCTTAGACTATCGTTGAATTATATATATAGATGTATCTCCCTTACCCGCTGGAGTTAATGAAATCCCGAATTGAACGCGACTAAAGATTTCTCGTTCTTGCATTTGTGAGAGATCATAATATTCAACTATTGTAATTGGAAAAATTTTTTCAAAAACATATATATATGTGCGTAAATTTCGTAAGAATTATATACAGTATACTATATTATATACATACTACAAACAATTTCTGAACATTCAAACAACTCTCTTTCAGTGTCGGATATCGATTTTGCTCCTTTATGATTCGAGAAGTAACGTTTCGAAACAGCTTTTTGGGAAGGCGCCAAATGAGGTATTTCATTTTTCATGAATCTATCATATATAATAAACAATATGACTATTAGAAATGAACATGACCACCAAAAAAAGGAAAAATAATAGCCGAAATAATGGCTGTTGTGTTATATTAACCTATGAATTGATGTTAATCTTTGCTTTCCATCGATACATATTCGCGTCCAACGATTTTCATCTATCTTTTTGCATGAAAAAATAATTGGAGGAATATAATAATTCTTGAGGATAGAATCGATCAAGTGTGATTGCTTGATATCTAGCGTTTTTAATTATAATCTGTTACAATGATTGCTCAAAGCTATATCAGACGATTAAAATCAAATTCTACCTTTCCATACGACATCTTTGAAAAAAAAGTAATAATAACTGTTAGTTTTTTTATTACAGTTTTTTAATTATTTTGAGAAAATAAAACAAAATACCTCGTTGAAATTCAGGATTAACATTTATCATTCCCTTTTCTATCCAATCATGTAATTTGTACAAAGTATGGGAAACATGTCTAGGTTTGCTTAGTATGTCTGCCATTATTAAAAGGCGAATATAACAGTAAGAAATTTTTAAGAAATTTTTGACGATTTTAAAAGTGCAAGATTGGTTTTTATGAGATCTGTTTAAGCAAAATCAATCGTTTTGATCGATAGAATAAATTAAAAATGTAAATTATGATAATGTGTCATTATACTCTTCGTATTCGAATGACCTAGTGTTTTTTTTTTTATGCAGTGTGTTCTGTTCTCACCTGCGATAAATTAGTCACTTTATAACATTCTTAGTAATGTAGGCGAATTTTCGTACGTAACTTAATTACGATAAAGTGCAATCGAGTACATAATTACGTCTGCACCAACAGATGTTCTAATGCAACTTTTTTATTTGCAATATCATCTTATAAGTATATAGTTACTATTATCATTATAAACAAGTGAATCATTGAATGATAATTATTTTATACGGCGACTAATTCTAAATTTAATAACGATAGTGATTATTTAGTGATTGTATTCAATTAAATAACGGAACATCATACTGTTATATAATTCTAAAGAATTAAAACATACTTAAATATGACAAATATATTTGCTTAAACAAGTTTATCGTTATCTGGCATTCAATATAACTAAGAATTATTTTAATTGACCATTTTAATTTTATATTATTTTTACAGTTTAAAAGTATGTTTAAAAGGAAATATAACAGGTCATGATAATTATAGCCTAGTAGTTAGGTTGTTATAATCCAAGTTACTAGCTCTGGGTTTATAATTCATTCTGGTTAACAAAGTCTGAATTTAAATTAGTTATTCATAGTGAAGGTCATTTTCTTTTTTATTGGTTGATTAATTACGTTTGTAAAGACCGACCCAAAAACACCACCAAAAATTTTCGTTAATACTTTCGTACTAATATGATCAATATGTTAAGTCATGATTTGCTACTTTTTTTGAATTCAATATATCTGTCTAAAAAAATTTCTTCGAATTTAGTTTAGTTGGTCAAATCTTTACACGTCTCGATCGAAGCCAGGAAAATTGATATATTGATAATTTATTGTATTTTTGGTACATAATAATTTTTGGTTAAAAGATATATACTTATTATTTTACAATATTCAATTCAATAAATCCACTACTTATAAAATAATTAAAATACTGTAAATAATAAAGAATGAAATTTAATCATTGAAAAAAAGAATAAAAATAGATATATAGATATAGACATAAATAACTAGTGTAGAGTTTAGTCTAGTTTATTTGTAGTACTATATAATTTTTATAATCCTGCACAGGTTTAATAGTGCTATCTGTATTTTCTTTTCTTTTGTTTTTTTTTTTCTTCATTATTTGTTTTATTTGGTTTTTTTTTTGTTTAGATGGATCAGAATTTGATGTCAAGATATTTTTCTATTTTTGTACTACTCTTTGTCTTTGTGTTTATACTTTGTTTTGTAAAAAGAAAAATCTATTCTGATATAGTATGTGGCATCAGCCTATGATTAAATAATTTCTTCTAATAAGTTAAGGATTCAAAGAGAGGCTTGAAGTTTATTGAGGCAGGTTATATCTGGCAAAAGCATAGATAAGTTACTTTACAGATAGATTAGTATAGCTAGTATTAGGAAATATAAATTTTTTAGTATAGTTTAATCTCTAATAAAAAGTAACAAATCTATTAAATTATAAAAAAAAAACTTTATTTAAAAGCTTAAAGTAGGTTTATATAAGGCTATGTAAAGAAAATTTTTTGTTTCTCATAACCCGGTCGGGTCATTTACCTAAAATAAGAAAATTTAAATTTTATGGAGCGCAGCATATAATTAACCAATCAGATTCTTAAAAAAGTTAATATCATTTGTATGTTTTTCTTTTATTAGTGGGTTGGTTAAAGCAGAGCAAGTTTAAGGTTACCTTTTTGATGCAGTTATGGTTAGCGGATTATATAGATATCAAGAATGCAATTTATGCAATATGTAGATCATATATTAAATTCACTTTGCTTTAACCAAACCCCTTATTAGTCAGATCTCAAGATCTTATTTTTGGTTTGAATATTGACTGTGAATATGGGTAATTAAGCAAATTGGGATCTCAACTGCGTTTTTTTAATACTGTAATACGTAAGAGACATACCATGTTCATAATTGCTAAATAGGATAAACTATCATTGCAAATTGTCTCTTTTTATACTAGTACTAACTTTATTTTATGTTATACAGCTCCTATCTCTGTGTACAAAGGTTGCCACATTACGAGTTAACACAATTTATTTATTCAAAAGAAAATTTATACTATCAAAACTTGACTAACTATTTATAACTAGTAACAAAAAAAATTGTGGAAAAAATTTTCTTTTTACAGAACTCATTTTTTAGTCTTTTTATCTTTTCTGAACGATTTTTGCCCTTGGCGTTTAGTCGAGCCACTTGAATTGGAACAGCTTTCACATTTTGGTCATGAATCCTTCAATGTAGATCAATGAACATCAAGGCTACCACACAGATAACACACATCAGGATAAATTGATGCAGAATAATATGGCTTTTTAATCAGAATTCACATGTCTAAGAGTTATTAATGAAAACATACTTAAAGATTTCTCTAATAGGATCATTAATTACATCTTTTATATTTCTTTCTTCAGGCTCTTTGGGCAAGTGGTATCATTCACTTCATTAATATCATCATCTTGATCGGTTTCATTACTTTGTTTATCATTGTTATTTTTATAATCATCAATGTTATTGACATTATACATTTGATTAGAATTGCTAAGGCCAGCTACTGTATTACCTTCGTAATTATCATCACTAAGTTCATCAAGAATCTCTCCCAATTTACAATATAAATTAGTTGGTTTAGCAAGTAATAGCTCACAAGTATTGTGAAATGCAGTTTCGCAAGTGTATAGGATGGTATCTAGGAATTGACTAAGTATTTGGCAGACCTTATTCAATAATTTTTTTGCACTAAATAATAGCTGCAGTTTGTTACATTCTATACAACTAACAGTCATACCAACATTTTTAGCATGCAGTGTGGAGGGGCAAAAGGGCATTGTGTGGTTTACTTTTCTTTTTTCCTCTCCTCTTGCCTGAGAAGATTTTGTTCTAAGTAAAGCTTTATTACGTGAGGGTCTATATTTTTCTGTTGTAGAAGTATTATAAAGCTCTTCAAAGGGTTTGTAATACATGTCTTCTCCTGGAACTGGGTCAAGAAGATTGTGAAGTTGAGTAAATACTTCAAGTGGGCACCAAGGTGGCCAGCAAATTAAGCAAGTATCTTCACCACATTTTTTGATTATAAAAAAGTAATATCTCACTATGCAACAATGGTTGAAAAATTCTTTTATACGTGGCTTTTGAAAGTAGTTATTGTCAATTTTACTATTATTTTAATATGTACAGTACTTACCTGTTGCTTTAGATCTTTTATTTCATAATTATGATATGTTAAAGTTGTATCAATTAGTTGAATGTTTTTCCAAAACTAATTGATTTCTTCATCTGTTGCTGTATCGATTGTTCTAAATAGCACACCTTTTAAGGACTATCATTCAAATATTTCACGAACAAGATAAATCGGTTCCTGGATACTTTTTATGAGTTCATCTTTTAAGGTGGGATTTGACTCTGCAATTTTATGAATATCTTTCATTGAGTTTGCTTTATCAATGAGTTTTTCATATTTATCATTCATTTTGCTATGCATCAATCTAATATACTGTAATCTGAAATTGAGTGTCGACATTATGCGTTCAACAGGATTTTCCAGGAATGTGAGGGTGGTGTTCTTACTGCCACAAGATAATTAAGATCAAAAGCTAAAAAAAAACAAATGTAAGATAATTGAACTCTTCAATATGTGCATCGGTAGTTAGGACCACCATCTGTATAAAGATACAAGACAGGGTTAGGTAAATTTTGGGTTAGAAAAATATCATGAAGTTCTGTCATATGATGGAAAGGAGTAAAGGGCTGAAAAATTAGATCTTTTAGGGCAATATACACTTCTTCTGCATAAAAATCACTATTTATTGTCTCGAGAATATCACAGAGCATTGTTACACTTGGCATCATTCCAGTTTTTGCA